CCAACCAGAATGCCCATCATATTGTAGAGACATTCTCCCCCACGGTGTTAGGATGGGATGGCCGCACTGCCATGTCATCACGAGGCCGCGGGTAATAAGATAGATTTATCATCATCGCTTTCCTCGTATGTGACGGTGGGGCTGTGTCTTACTGGATGTGCGATGCTGACACAACGAAACGATGGGAAAAATTCATAGTCTTGGGCTGCAAGACTATTGCGGTTGGACTTCTCTCTGCATGTCCACTTCCCTCAATTCTAATCGGCGATCTCGCACTTCCGGGTGTCAAGTAGTGGAGACGTCTTATTTCGCTGTCGTTCTACAACATGGAATACATCGTTGATACGAGTTACACAGAGTTTTCGCGCCGGCGAGAATATTTAATATGGCCCTTCGGTCGATCCAGATTCCGTAGCCATATAATCCTTCTTCCCGAGGAGAAGGTGTAGGGCAGGCTTAGATGCCGGGAATAGTAGGCGAGAATAGCAGGATATGTTGAATATCTTAGCCGTGCGTCCGACACCATAAATCTTATCGAAATTTGATACATGTGTAGCAAGGATTTCCTCCAGGAGAATGCCCTTCCCGTCGACATAATCGACGGGTCGAAAAGGCAGAGATGGCGGAGAACTAAGAACCTGGGGGAGATTGATATTTATTTCGTTGCCTTCAGTCGGCCCAACAGCGTTGGGAGTTAGTAGGCACGATCACAGCCTCTAAAGTAGTTCAGATAACCCCTGGAGGAACAGATGGCAGCACATCCCGTTCAGAAAAATTCTCAATGAGTCCCCGCCCATAGCGTCAAGATCTCGTTCAGAATCTCGCTGCACCGCTGGGCAACTCTAGCATCCTCTCTCGTCAAGTCCACTGCATAAGAACGAAGGTTGGTTGATTGAAAATTTCCACAATAAAATCACGGAAGGACTGATGTAAGACCCGGATCGACAGGTGAGGATCCTGAACTCCTGAGAGGAGGGGAGCGAATTCCGCTAACGTATGCCGAATAGGATACTCCCGGAAAGGCGATAAAATGGCCGTTGTGCAACAACCATTGCTCCCATTACAACTGGGTAATCATGGACAAAGTCCTCCAGATGTTTGTATACACCCTATCAATCATTTTCTCAGCCGAAACCTTCGATCGGTCAGTACCAGTATCAAGGAGTTTTTCATAGGGGGACCGCTTGCCACCTTCATGTAATGGAAGACGGTACTAATCCAGATGAACAGGTCACCAGCTCTTTCCAATATGTCTCGAGTAAGTTTGTCCTCCAATCTGTCTCCCAAACTAAGATGCACTTCCTTCAATTCGCGTAGCTGCATATGGACGTAGAGCGCACAGTCCTGCGCATTAGCGTCGTCCGAGAGATCGATGCTGAGACGATCGATAGGGGAATCACCGAACCAGGCGAGAGAAGGTCGAGCTGTCTTGAGGTGGGTACTTCTTTCCGAAGTATACTGACAAACTACTCGAAAGCTTGCTATTCGCATCTGTCTAACGCATCAATAGTATGGGACGATCGGAAGGCAGTGTGTTCAAACAAGGGGGTTCAGCCAACAACTTCTTGAATTGCATCGTGAACGGCGTGAGTCGGATCTCTATGGAGTGTCGATATGACGGAAGCGTGGTATACTGGGTCATGAGTTGCCAGGGATCTAGCCATGCCACAAAAAAGGTGATCTGGCCGCGATTGCTCGCTTGCCTTGAAGAAGGTCGACAACAAGATACTCTTTCTCGTACACTTTTCTGCGATAGAATGTGGAATAGATGTCTTCCCGCCAGCCACCGCCGTCAGCAGCACTACCCGCTTCGCGCTATCCTCGATGTTGCGACACCGCCTTCTAAGCATACTTCAGTTGAATCATGGTAAGCGACATCGAGGTGTCTTGGTCCACCGAGAACTGGGTCGCGTCGTAGCTCGCCAGTTAGGCCGTGATGACTATCTACCATGGTTGACAATTTGATACCGATTGCTAAGTTCGTCCTGAGGTGCATCGGCGGAAGTCAGAACAGTCCTGGAATGATATGTGACAAAAATCACGCTAATGCTTTGTCGAGATCTTTCTTCAAACCATCAATCCTTCCCAGCAGGAAGGTGACCAGCCTCTCCTACCTTCCTGGGTCTCTCAGGTGAGACGGCGGATTCACGAAAGCCGAACGTTCCGCTGTTTTTGCAAGTCTTCGATCGATTTTCGACTGAATCTGCCGTAGGACAATAGATAATTAGCGCTAGGACTATTGATATGGCCAAACTTAGCTCGAAGCCTCAATAGTGGTCGCACTAGCTTAACACCCAAGTTCTCCGACAGTATTCCTAGAAGAAAATACACAGACAAGAAACCATCCAACCGCGAGGCCCAGATCCCATTCCCATAAGATACCGGCCCATCCAAGCACGGTTAAACACAGCTTATCCGTCATGCCACTCTACCTATCTGCAGTATTTCCGGGCCAGAATCTGCTATCAGTGAACCGGGCGGGCGCCCGGCCGAGCTCTGATAATGGGTTATCTCGCCCGATGTCGGAGCAGGACGGGAGTCTCAACGGTCACATACACATCCCCGTGAGGTAGTCGATCATCACCTTCCCAGATGCCTATATTCTTGGCGATGGATGGGCCAGTCGAACGCGATCCGGACTAGCACATCAATTTTTGGTCGCACATGGAAGTTGCAAGGCTAAAGACGCAGGGAAATTGTCCCAAATTTCAGACCACTGGCCATGAAGACTTCCTCCTTGATTTGAGCTGAGAATTTGGTGTGCACACTGTCGCTTTTTGCTCACGAAGCAGCACGCCAGTTTGAGCGCCAACTCGGACCACAACAAAATGAGTGGCCAAATAGAACTTCCAAACAGCTCGCCTAAGATGGACGACAAAATCCTATTAATAACACAGGTGCATGCAGAGTATTGATCAAATGAGCGAAGAATTGGACATTTGCGCGCGAATCAAAAAGCTAGCTAGGAAGACACTGCGACTACGGGGCGCATGGCTGTTCCCAAGCCTATCGGATGAGAGTGGGACCCGCGGTCGCCACGTCCTCGGTTCGGCAGTTGGGCGGTGATGGTTCAGGGAATCATGGGTCAAATTCTGAATGCTCTCATTTGGTCGGGGCTGGCAGGCCTGCAGGGGCAGGAGCTCATCGTATCCGAAAGCAGCATTCTCGTAGCCGTGCCACACAAACAGGAATGTATCTTTCATTGGTACAAAGCGATCATTCCATGCTTGCGGAGGAAATTCTTCGTAAGTAGGAAATGGGTGAGGCCTGAGGGGCACCTAAGTGGACGGGATGAAATTTGCCATCATGAGGTTGGTAGCCATGAAATGTGGCAGGGGAGAACCAAAACACAGCAAACAGAAAAATATCACAAAGGGTGAGAACTCGGGTGGTAAGACGAAACGACCAGAAGGGATCGATGATTCTTGGTGTAAGTTGATGCACATAGCAAAAAGGAGGGACAGACAGGACTCTGAGCTAGCGAACCTGTTAATGGTGGGCATGCATGACGAACAATGCTCTAAGGGAGGGGGCTCCTCGAGCCTCATAGTGATAATGGAGAATTTACTTTGGTCAAGCCTTTTAGTGCATCAAATGGACAGATATATTCGTTCTGATATGGAGTAAGCTATGAAAGTTCCACAAAAAAAGAAAGCGAATCGGGACTAACTGACAGTACAAGGGAGGAATAGTCACAGAACTGTTGAAGCCTTTATTTATACCCACTGCACCCTAGAAAGGGGACCTTGGCTGAGGAAGATGGAAGGGTGACCTAGCGAAACTTTACGATTCCCCTCTGACAGTGGATAGAATGCTCAAGGTAAGCAGAAACTGACCGTGAACGTACTAAATGACTTGGCTAAGATCAACAACGATTGGAGCTGTCTGCCAGCCTTGGAGGAGGATCCGAGTCCCATCTTTGCTGGACCGAGGGCTGTACAGAAGGGTAGGATCAGATGGCACTTGATCGCCATACCAAGCACCTAAACCTTGAGCACCAGAAGAAACAACTGGTCGATATTCCTTGGGAATAATGAATTCCAATTTGCCGTTGAAGAGCATTGGTAGCTCCGTGTGTCCTCCATCAGTTCCGAACAGCGGGGTTCTTCCGGCAGTGGACGAATGGATTTCAAACTTCTGCCACATCCTCTGCCACTCCCCCACTCGTCCTCCTTTTGCAAGAGAACATAGAATGGGCACTTGATCCAGGACTCGTCCAAGTTATACCCTGCATGTGCTTCGCAATGATGTATACTTGCTGCTTCACCTGTCAAGGAAAGGGTAGGTCGAGCGGATACAGGATCAGGGATCCAATAAGAGCAGGTGAAGGGAACAGCAGGATTCATGATCCACAAATTGAAATCCGTCACACGATAACTCGAAATGAGCTCACCCGAACCTGTCGACCAGGTGAAAGCGCCGAGGCCATCAAACGCGCCGATATAACGTGCTCCTGGAGAAAACCCAAGTGTGCGACGGTGCGGAATGGTGAGCACTGGGTCATTTTTGATGGATGCAGAGGATGAAGTAGAAGGCTCGGAGGCTAAGATAGGAGGGTTGGGAGTTGGAGTGAAATTATTGGAAGAAGGGGGTGCGAGGTGTTGCAGGTGCGGGTCACCCAAAATGGATATGAGAGTCAGGCTGTCGTACCAAGAGCTATCAGCGTTCCGCGGAACCCGTATGATAAATAATCCATTATCTGATACTCGAGTTACGGCAGGAAGAAGGTTGTTGGGGAGAGTACCAAGATTCACGGCGGTCATATCGTGGCTAAGGATGGTGACGTTCCCCTCATTGTCCTCTGCAGCAACCCGGTGGCTGCCATGGACAAATTCGATCCAGACTGGATGGTTGGGTGGGTCGAGCTGGAATCGGGAAATTGTGTGCTGATGGTCGATATCAGCGAGTTCGATGACACCACTACCAAAACCAAGAGCTACATGGTGGCCATCAAAGGAAAGCGCCGCACATGTCACAATACCGTTACGAATATCAGGGTCGTTGAATTGGGCATCATAATCAGTCTCAACACCCCAACTATCAACCTTCTCTGGAAAAGTAAGCAGCTTCGCCTCCATGACCATTCGAGCATTGAGTAAATCCTCACTCAATGGGATTCCGTGCCCGGAAAACTCGCCGGAAATGGTGAAGATCCGGACGGGATCGGAGAGGTGGCCATACAGTTTGTGAAAAGGTGATGACATTGGGGTGAAAGGAAGGGTCGATCGATGGAGGTGCCATAGTTCCGGGGAAATCGCAACATTCAGATACTTCACTGATTGCTTTTCTCGAGCTTCTCTCAAAAGTTTGAATGAATCGCAATTCTGTTAAAAATGACATCGTATTAAAATCACCGCGACAACGGATTATGCTCACCTTGAATTCATCAAATCCGTCAGGGAATCCTTTGCCATGTTCGACAATCGGCACCAGGTGTATAAATGTAACCAGGTTTTGCGTGAGGAATGTATCAAACTCGTTCTGAAATTTGGACCTTTGTGCAAAGAGTTGTGAGGGGTCTAAGTGTTCTAATAAGTATTCACGAGTATATTGGAGGTGACGAGGGAGATGATATCTTCTCTTCCGAAAATCGCTCCATTTCCCCTCATCTCCTAAAGGGAGAACAGTGGGCAACCCAAACACATCCTGCTCACAACTATGATTGAAAAATCGGAGGAGTGGCAGTCCGATAAAATATTTATTCGCTTCTCTGATAAAGAATATTTTGTCATTTTCATGACCAATCGGATCCCCCATTATAAACTCTTTCATTGTTGCATGATAGAATTTGATGCCCTGCATGTCCTTCGAGGAACTTTCCGAGCCACTTTCCGAGCCACTTGTCGAAGAAAGATCAACAATTGAACTAATTGGTTCCAATATACCTAAGACCTCTTCCTCGGCAATTCCTGAGAGCTGCGATATAAAAGGAACACTTAGTGGCTTGAATGCCGCATAGATTGTGGCAACCACTTGGCGATACTTCTCCGCTATATGTTTACGGACTCCAGATGAGCCAACCATATAGGCACGGCGAAGTACACGCAGGTACTCCATGTTGACGTCAACAGGGGCATCGATTAGATCACGAAAATATTCGAACTCGGATCGAAGGGTTGCACCACGACGGGCTTGAAAGGAGACATCCCGGACTCGGATTGAGGCAATAATGGGCAGCCCACGACACGCTGAGACAAACGCATCGACATCCTCTTTTGATGGTTTCCAGGAAGACTTATCGATGCAGCCCCGAAGGCCTTCCTCCACCATGCGGTGGATAGTGTGGAACTTCTCTTCCTCAGCGACAATGTCCACATCTTCACATGGTATGGCAAGACCCTGAGCCCGAGCTCCATCCCAAGCCGACACAACAGAAGACTCTGGCCGACAGCTGACTAACACGGCAAACGCGGCCGGCATCTCATCAAGGATGAGTACTAGCTTCATTAAGGACTCAAGTTCCTCCTGAGCCCCACACTCATCCAGTCCATCCAGAATGATAACAAGACGTTCCTCACCCAAAGGTAAGAGTTTGTGCGCGGGATCAATAATCCAAGCTCTCATTTGTTTCTCCAGAGCGGAGCCAGGAACATCCTTCAATGATGAAGGCTGTCGGAGTCGACTGACGAGAAGTCCTTCGTACTCGGCGTTAAACAGGGCAAGCTGACGCGCAAGAGTAGAGGGGAAGTGTTCAACCGAGGCAAGTCCTGCGCCCTTCCGATTTTTGTCCCAGAAGAAAGATGCTGCCAAGCGACCCTGTTTGTCGAGAGTTGATGCGACTCTCATTGATATAGCAGTTTTTCCAGTACCCGGTGAGCCGCGAAGCCAGACAAATCGGTGCTCCCGTTTCTCCAAGTGATCGAGTATTGATTTCTGAATCTCGACACGGGTGTCTTCCAGGCATTCTGACTTGCTTTCCACGGCAGAGTATTCCGCGCTCGCTTTGTAGAGTTTTGAGAGTTCATCTGAAATGTTCATTAAATTTCAAGCGGTGAAGTTAATGGAGAACAACAAACAGTCTACCGATAGCCGAATTGTGTGGAGGAGATTTAGAGTTGTCGCAGCAGTCTATGGTGAATCCCCCGGTCAATCTTCAAACGACTTGAACGTAGACGAAACAAACCGAAAAGCAGGAAATAGCATCATGAATGCACGACTTCACTGCACTTATTTCCTGGGTTATCTCAGTCGCTAAAATTACCCTCTTGGAAAGCTTTTGACGTTTGAGTGCCTCAATTTGCGTCAATTGTCGTTTTAGAGCTCTGTAACCGAGAATTTGAAATTTGAGCGAGAGAACGATGAAGGGAATGCACATACAAGTCAAATCGTTGAATCAGATCACCTATCGCAGGAGGAACTTGGCCAGTCCACAACTGGAGAGGCCTAAAGATCGTTTCGTGAGCGTTACGAACTTCGTCGTCTAATCCCTTGAGATCTTCGTCATTGTTGTCGATGGTCTGCATAAAAATGTGAGGTTATATCATTTAATCGCAACACCCTGCGAACCTCGTAAACTTGGAGCCACGATAGGAGTGTATTCGGTATCTGGTCGAGATTCGGAATGGGGGCTAACTTAAGAGCAGTGGCGGCAGTTTGGAGGACAAGCCTTGTGGCGGCGATGATTGTTTTCTTTCCTTCACCAGCAGTGACGGCTGAAGATGACGGTGTTCGATCCATTGACGATGGGGCATCTAAGTTCACGCCTGTGCGTCCTGGTGGTGGGTGGGGAGTTTCAGTGTTGCCATGGGTGATACATTCGCTGGGCATCATGTGAGAGATACCAATGGTCCCCCCAGGGAGAACGGGTGATGATAATGGATTAAGCAATGGCTGATTGGGCGTAGAGGGGTCCGGTTGTCTGGGATCGGGACTGGGACTTCTGCTCAACAGCTTAGCTATAGTGTACCGAACAGACCTCCGCTGCTTCCGGCCTCGAGAACTACCATCGGTAGTGGTAAGAGGTTCAAGACGGAATCTATCAGATCCACCATGATCTGTGCTAGTTGTTGCATCGCTTTCAGTTGGAGAAGAAGTGATCTGGGGGTTGGGAACAGGGTTCGATGGGTCACCGGGAGGCGCAGTTCTTTTAGAAAACTTGAATCGATTAGACATCGCGAATCAGCAAGTGCAGAGGATGTTGTGGCCAAGAGGAGAGTCAATCGAGCCGCCCAACTAGTAAAACAGGATGGCAAATATCGAAGTGCCCCCTTTGTGGGCGCGAAACCAGAATAGGGCATTAGTTACACTATCAAAATCATTAGCATTAATAACGAAGTCCACAAAACCGACTACACACCCTTGAGCATTTTGCAGACGATTTTTTCAGTTATTGATTGTTATTTGGTTCGGAACGGCATCAAACAAGTCACAGATTGAGTCATACGAGTGAAACTTGAGTCGCAGCAGCTCCACGCCCCACAGCCACTGTCCACTCTTTGTTCACCCAGGACCTTGATGCCGCCTTCTTCACGCAAGGGGATAGTCAAATCTGGAAATGTTGGGAACTCGTCAAAGGGAGCCCCCAAGACTCCAGATCCTGAGAAGAAGGATAGCTTGGAGAGCAAACCCCTTTTCCCACCTGGCTTCAAAACCCCAATAAGTTTACTTCACGAGAGGTACTTCTTCTTTCAGCTATGCAGCTCTTTTGTGAGTTGTAAGCTTCGCTAGCCACTCGGTACACATCACTTGCTTGTGTAGTCACAGAGGAGGCTTTGACGGTCCCGTTCCAACTTACATCTGTTCTTCGATGCCAGGTGCCAAAAGTTAGGGTGGGACAAACCAAACGTGGAGCCTGTAGGGAATTCTTATATGGATAGGGTGTGTGCTTATCATGTGTTTAGCGCCGCCATGGCGAGGGATTCACTTGTTCAATCACCCTCTCTCGAGATCACAAATCAGAGCGTGAGTCTGTTCGATTCGTCCCCCACCCTCCGCTATCCAGGCCGACTGCCATCGAGGCAAAGCATTGGGGAGCCACTTATGCATTGCACCGGTTTTCCAACAATCTTCAGCTGCACAGACTGCTGCCGCCAGGGCCCCGAGAATATTGGGCGGATCTCGAAGCAGTAAGGAGAGCTGCACCCGAGCATCAGAAGTGGATGTACGACTCCGATCCTTTTTCGGCCCAAAAATCTGTGAAAGTCCGCCAAGAATTAGCCGCAAAGAAGAAGCAGAAAGAGGAAGAAGGGGGAAATGCGGCAAGTTCGTCTGGCCATAATAAGGTTGATCATACACCCGAGGTTCGAATGGCTGCGACCATGCGAGACTCTGTCGAGAGAGTGATTCGAGAGGTCAGTGTCTCAGTACGTCCTACTAACATTCGACAACAATTGCTTTTAGATGGCATCACGGTATCCGGGAGTCATTGCAGAGGACACTTACGCGCCAGAGGCACCATCTTTTCGTCGAGTTGAAGTTGAGGCTTCTCTTCGCACATTAGGTTTCCAGCGACATCAAATCGAGAAAGCTTTGAATTATATTACTGCGCCCACTGATAACCCATCGCCATACCTCGCCTCACTCTTGGCACTGCCGCCACTTGATGCATGTGTGTCATATATGTTACTTCATGTCCCGGAATCGGATCTTCCAGTTCAGTTCAAATCTCAGCAGACTTCTTCCGATCCCTTTGTGAGGAGTGGCAGCTCGATGAGTGTCCCGCTTGCACTGCAGTGGTCAGCCAACCGTGCAATGAAAGAAGGTGGCTGGCCCGAGAGGTCAGTGATGGATACCATTCAGTCGGGCACCACGGACTGGGGCCTCATCATCGAAAAACTTGGAGGGAAACTTCTTGGTTATGCTGCTGAATTCGGTTCAGCTGGAGAAGGCGGTTGGGACATGAGTGAGCGGTATGCGAAACGTTTGGAAGAAATCGAGGCTGTTCAGTCTGTCTATCCCGATGCTCAATATGATGCAGAGAAGGCGGAGCTTAGTGTCCCACTCCCTAACAATCCGGATACTTACCTGAATGTCGTCTATTCTTCCCTCCATCCGTACCCGAGCCCAAGCGCCCGCAGTCCTCCCTTGTTTATTTCCTCCGCCAAGCGCCCATCATACATTAGGCTTCATCTGCTGTCACGGGTTCTCTCCGCTCTGCAGCCTGATGGTGAATTGGAGCCTTTATTGCTAGCAGGAGAGGGAGCCGTGTTTGGAGCGATTGATGTTGCAGACAACGAGCTCCTTCGAATACAGGATTCGCCTCCCGAAGTTAGCGATGTCATGAAGCATCTTATTCAAGCATCTCAAACTACGACAATGGTTAGCAGAGGCAAGGACAATCCGAAACCCCCGCGGAGTCGAGGTCGTTTCAAAGACGTTGTTTTTGATGACCGGTCCGAAGAGGATATCAAGCGAGAATTTGAACAATCAAGGCAATCCAAGGAATACGCCCACATGCTTGATGGTAGAATGAGGCTCCCAGCATGGAACTCTCGAGACGAGATCGTTCGTCTCGTTGACTCTTCACGCGTAGTAGTGGTGGTAGGTGAAACAGGTTGGTGACACCTAGCTTCTGTCACTGTGATTCTTACATGGTGTAAATTTCAGGTTGCGGAAAGACTACACAGCTACCCCAATTCATTCTCGATGCCTGCATCAGCAAAGGATGTGGGTCTCAAACCAAGATAGTCGTCACGCAGCCTCGTCGTGTCAGTGCCCTAGGCGTGTCAGCGCGTGTTTCTGCTGAAAGAATGGAAGATGGGAGTGTTGGCTACGCCATCCGTGGTGAAAGTAGGCAGAACAGGCGCACCAAGCTTCTGTATGCCGATTCCTTTTCGTTCAGCGTCTTCACACTGAGCTTCCGCCAGCTTCTGCACAACAGGTGTCCTCTTACGTCGCTTGACGACCTCAGGCTACCTCTCTGGTGTTAGCCACGTCATTGTCGACGAAGTAAGCGGGAAACGGTGTAAACTGTCCGACAACTCACATCCCACTCCATTCAGGTTCACGAAAGATCGGTCGACAGTGATTTTCTGCTTTTGGAGTTGCGCGAACTGCTGAAACATAATAAAGAAATTAAGATCATATTGATGAGTGCCACTATAAATCAAAGCATATTTGTGGAATACTTCAACGGTGCTCCCGTGTTGGAGATACCCGGCTTCACTCACCCAGTGCAAGACATCTATCTTGAAGATGTAATCCCGAAGCTGAAGTACTTACCGCCCCCTGCCAAGGGAGCACCGAAGCAGACCGAAGAGCAACTAAAAGCTTTCCGGGAGGAGTTTGAGGCCACTGGGTTAGGCGCATCCGCTGGTCATGCCATTGTAAATTTCACGCGTTCCGACAGATTGGACTATCATGTGCGTTATATCGTTCGGTTTCTCGCTGAGGTCATTGATTCACAAACACCCAGCTGATTTCCAGCGTGGTGAGCTACATCGTGCAAACAGCAGAAGATCCTGACGGCGCAATCCTCGTTTTCCTCACTGGCGTTCAAGAGATTCGTCAATGTATGGATGTTTTGCGGTCTTCTGATGTCAACGATGCTGCAGAGATCCTCCCTCTACATGCTAATCTGTCGAGCGATGAACAACGTCGCGTGTTTGCAAAGACCCCAAAGCGCAAAATCGTATTGGCTACTAATGTTGCCGAAGTATGTCATATTTGGATATACTGTTATGTTTCACGCATCTAAATGAACTTTCTGAAGACCTCGATCACAATACCCGAAGTGGTGTACGTTGTGGACTGCGGAAAGGCGAAGGAAAATCAGTACGACGTAGGGGCTGGGCTATCCCGCCTGGTCGAAACCTGGGTAACAAAAGCAGCTGCGAAACAGCGCCGTGGTCGGGCTGGCCGAACTCGGCCAGGGAAGTGTTACAAGCTATACACTCGCCAACGGGAAGCTGCGATGAAAAACTTCCCAGTTCCTGAAATCCTGAGAGTACCATTGGAGTCACTGAGTTTGCAGATCAAAGTGATGCGTGAGAACGAGGATGTACGGGTATGCATGAAATGGCCTTGATTGGAGTAGCACTTCTTCAATCCGACATTTATCAGCTTTTTTTGGCCAAAGCGCTCGACCCGCCTAAGGTTGAGGCAATAGACCACGCGTGGAATGTTTTGGAGGATCTTGGTGCCGTCGATTCTGGGGGCAAGCTCACTGCGCTTGGACAGCAAATGGTGCGCCATCCAAGATTTACATCGTTTGGCTCTGATTTGTTATTATATTCTTCTAGGCTCTTCTGCCCGTTGATTTGCGTCTTGGGAAGGTATGAGTTAGCTTCGCAGTCTTCCCGGGATACACGCAAACGTGACCCTGTAGATGATGATCCTCGGGACCATTTTTCGCTGTCTTGATCCGATTTTGACGATAGCGGCATGCGTCTCCTCGAAGCCACTATTCTTGAGTCCCATGGATAAGAAAGAAGAGGCAAATAAGTAGGTTACTTGATACTCGAGTGACATGTTCGGCTAATCTCTAAATTCGTAGGGCTAGACTACAGTTTGCTACAGCAAATAGTGATCTCTTGACAGATGTCACTGCCTACAATAAGTGTAGAGCGTTCAAGGGACAAGGCAACACTCACAATGCACAGCGTCGTTTCATGGAAGAGGTGCGCCCATACTTGCATCCCATCGCTTCTCTTAATCACATCGTTGCAGAATTTCATATCTGCATCTAGCATTCGAGATGTCACTTCATTACGACAGGACTTCCTCTTAGCACTCTCGGATATTGGGTTCATCCCACTGAACGCTTCCGCGACGTCTCCCTATCTAAACGTGAACAGTGATAACACGAATCTTGTGAAAGGGGTCATATTGGGTGGTCTTTGGCCTCGCGCCACACGTATCTCCATGCCGAAAGCAACGTTCGACCAAGTTGCCTCGGGAACAGTACAACGAGATCACGTCGCGAAGGAGATCAAGATTTTCGATAAGAATGAAGGTCGGGTGTTCTTGCATCCTGGTTCGGTACTGTTTGGAAACGCATCGTACAAATCGCCATATCTTGCCTATTTTGCAATGACGGCTACGACAAAAACATTTCTCCGGGATGCTACCGAAGTAAATTTTCCCCAGTGTTTTGGTACGACAGATCCCCTTTTAAAATTTCATTTCCCCAATTAGGTACCGCTCTACGCCCTTCTGCTTCTTGGAGGGCAAGTCACCATAGATCACATCAAAGGAGGAATCACAGTAGGAAAGCAAGGCTGGATTAAGATGCGAGCATGGTCACGCATTGGAGTGTTGGTCAACCAATTGCGCCTTCTGCTCGATGCTCAACTTCAGGAATCGATCGAGCATGCGGAAATTGCTGATGTCGGGGAAAATAACCCCGTCATTCAAGCGATGGTTGATTTAATTACGAATGACGGCTTGGTTGGAGATTGAAACTTCGTACATGACCAGACTCTTACCCAGTTCGTTGTCGCTCCGTGGACGCGCGAAATCTGAGCTTTTTTGTTACTAAGTACTTTTATTCAATACTAAAGTAGTCACGTTGGGATTGAAGCACATGATATGAAAACGTAATCACAAGTTCCAGTCACATGGTACGGAAATAAGGCAATTAAACCCGATCACCTACTCCGAAAAACGAACGCGACACTTCGCTCCAACGACTGGCACAATTTGGCGGTGGCGGTGTTCTCGGTAACATCCGGAAATAATACTTCGATCTCAGAAAGGCATCCTCGCCGTGTCCCCTTGTCCCTCCACCACCTTTCACACCATGAACACACCTGCAGATCGCGTAGAAGATGTATTTAAATACATGCTAGCTAATGGACTCACCCTCACATCATTCCTATCAATCATTTTGACCTCCGTGCAATTTGGAGACAAATTGCGGGAAATGCAACTCCATATCCTCAGTACTACCGAAGATCTTCATGATGCCACTGTTGTGAGAAACTGGATTCTCACAAGCGCCCAAGCAGTTTACATCAAAGAGATACAAGCACTCATGGAAAAAGGGAACGGACTCCACATGAATGCCTCCAAACTCCATCCAGCACAGCTCGAAGTGGGGAAAACCAGCGTACTGAGGCCGCTATTTGAGTCCAAGGCACCGGCACTTTGGAGACTGCTCCAACACCTCCTTGTGGTGGAAAGCAAGGGACGAGAAGGACGCAGGGCAAAGGTGGTACCGAGTCGAAGTGCCGGGTTAGGTGCCGGAAGAGATGAAGACGGTTGTGGCGATCATGTTAGTGCAGGGCACCAGTCAAAGGGAAACAATAGGGAGAGGAACTACGCCCTGCTTCAAATTGTAAGCTATAGCGTGCAATACATATTATGTATGACTTACTCTGAAGTTTTGGATAGAAAGGAGTCGTAATCTTATCGATAATCTTGCATGGTTGCAATGAACAGTGCAATGCATTGCAGGTGAAGAATTCATTCTATTTGGCTGCTTCGAATGCTTCGAAATCCGTCCGTCAGTGGGCTGCGCATGCCGGACTTGCAGTCTCCCCCTCCTCACTGGATAACCTTCGAATGTCACTGATAAGGAACCAGAAGGAGTTGAATAAAAGCCTTGGGTCCACTCGAATAGTGAACTTAGCGTACGACAACTGTGACTTCAAGTTTGGTGTTGGCCAGCCAACAGATCTTAAGGACCGCACGTTCGAGAGCATCACTACGGGACTTTTCTTTGCACCCCAAAGGAGGTGCTTCCTGAGCATTTAGAATACGCTGAAAGTATATGGGACTCACATCCAAACAACCCCAATGCTCCCAATGTCCCACCGATGATCACCTTTGCCGATGTCCTACCGACTACCGAAGCTACAGTCAGAATCATGGCACACTGTCGGTGGCACATCACATCAGTATTGATCGAAGAACACTTCCCTGAGCTTCGATCTCATCTTCTTGATCCTCCATCGACGTTCCAGTTGTCACCGCAACAAATGTTGTACTCTACCGCAGAGGCAGTGTATGCGAAGGCATCCACAATTGATGGGAATATTGACGCTATCATGTCACTTCTCCAGCAAAGTGGCATCGTGGAAGCGGGGGTCTTCGAGAAATACGTTATTCTTGTACATGGGGATCTTGGTACAGTTGAGAAGGTTGAAGGGATTTTGCGATCACGGCGCATTGAAGAAAGCGCGCTTGAGCGCATGCATTATCTTGTGGCTATACCAGGACTGTTTCATGTCAGAATGGCATGTGTTGATGCGATGAATAGGATTCATGCAACTGGGAAGGACTCACGAAGTGACCCAAATGGGTTGTACAAGCGCCTCTGCTTGCTCTTCCCAAATGACCTTTCTAAATTAAACAAGGCAGTCCCACCCTTTCGAATGATGAATGATGGAATAAATTACATTACCCGATGCACCATTCTTGACGCGTCTGACATCCCCGAATGTACCCAAATAATCCTATTTCTGAGCATCGTGCACACTCGAGACCTCAGGAAGCCAGCACTGCGCTCAGCATCAGCGCGGGACTCGCAGTACACAAGAAATGGCTTTGGAAGAGGATCGGATTCTTTCAAACCTAGTGGGACAAGGAATGCTAAGTCATTGCAAGAATCCTTGCTATATTGCATCTGACGGATGCAATAATGCAGGTTTGGACGGTCATTTGAACGACGCAACCATTTTGTTGTCTCCCCACCGTGATCACTATAATATGGATCCATTCCAATTGCTGACAATACTTTTCTGCATGTGCGAGGGTCCAAGGTCGCAGAAGTGAGGTACCATTGGCATCGATTCCGGAGGTATGAGTAAAGCCAGGCTAAGTTCGTATATTTTGTTCGGAACGACAGCCACTGGACTGCACAGTGGGCCTCGTCAACAATGATACGATTAATGTTACTGACAAAGCTGTCCTTCATCCAGAGTGGTCTAAGGAGGTTCCCTCGGAGCAAATCGGGGCCCAGGACAACAAATTGATATCTCATACTTGCAATCGCCTACTTAGTAAGTCAACATGGATTTACATATAAGTATGCAATTAATCCTTGCTCAAGTATGTACGTGCCTTTACAACATCCTTGTTAATGGTCCTTGCTTCCAGTGCAATTGCGGTGAGTCCTAATTTCTCTGCGCTCTCTACATGCTGATCTGCAAGCTTTCTCAGCGGCGCGATTATGAAAGAAACCCCTGGTTTTTTTTTTTTCATAGAGTGCAGGAAGGAAAAACGTGTATGTTTTTCCAGTTCCTGTTGCAGCTGTTGACACTAAATTTTGCTTTGGCTCACGAAGGAGAAACTCGGCGATTTCAGCCTGGAACCAGCATGCACGACGATTCCATTCTGCTTCACTTAGGGCTCTTATTTGCTCAGCAGAAGGCATCTGGCCTGGTTCTACGCGATCTGCAGGTGTGTTCATGGTGTGAAAGGTGGTGGAGGGACAAGGGGACACGGCGAGGATGCCTTTCTGAGATCGAAGTATTATTTCCGGATGTTACCGAGAACACCGCCACCGCCAAATTGTGCCAGTCGTTGGAGCGAAGTGTCGCGTTCGTTTTTCGGAGTAGGTGATCGGGTTTAATTGCCTTATTTCCGTACCATGTGACTGGAACTTGTGATTACGTTTTCATATCATGTGCTTCAATCCCAACGTGACTACTTTAGTATTGAATAAAAGTACTTAGTAACAAAAAAGCTCAGATTTCGCGCGTCCACGGAGCGACAACGAACTGGGTAAGAGTCTGGTACATGACAGCCCTTTTGAAAGAATCTGTCAGTTCAAAAAATGAAAGGGGTGCCATTCGTATTTTATGTAAATCTGTGGAATTTTTATTCTTTAATCCAGTAGAATTATATTCCAATATAGTAGAATTAGCGCCGCAATAGCCATCCCGGTCCCACGTTCCCCGTTAATGGGTGAGTACAAGTGCTGAGAGACCCAGCTCTCTGGCGCTTGATCCTAGTCATCCTATCGGGAAAAATAATGTCAAGCTGCTCACTATAAAGTACACCACTCCAGACACATCGTCCTGATGTCCGAACCCCTCTTTATCAATGAGCTACCATCTTAGTGAACGCACGGTTCACCGTATTCTGTCAGCTCACAGGCAAGGGATCAGGGACAGTAGCAGTAGGCCCCTCCTTTGTCCGTGCTGTGTAAGCTTCCTGCTCAGCTTTCTACCTCCGAACGATGAATGCTTCGCACTGGATGCGTGTCGGATCATCTAATGGGAGTGCGATAGTAGTCAATAAAAGCGTAAGCACTGTCCAACGTCACCGAACTTTCGTGTGATTGGAAACAAGGGAACGGGGTTGGCCTGCTCACAAGATCTGTCCCACCACTCTCTCTCCCTACCTCAATTGGAATCTCCGCTCAAAGTCTAACTCTCCTCCATCAGCTGACCTGAAGGCCTGCACCCACGGAACTACAGGACAGCCATGTCCATGACCCATATTATACATGTGTTTGCTGTCCGTCAGCCCTGAGACGTGAAATGTTCATCAGAGGTGGGAATGAGGGCTCGGATATCTGCGTCCACAGGGCTCGGGAAGCACCGCATCCCGTCTGATCTGCGGAGTTAAGCCGAGTACCGCTCAGTTAGTACCATGGTAGGGGATTACATGGGGATCCTGAGTGCCGCAGTTTTTCCTTTTTTTTTTTTTACTTTTATTTATTTTTGGTTTCCTTTGGCTTTCCACCACTTCATCCAGATCAAATCAATGCTTATCTTTCTCTGTCTCTCATCTATCATTTGTTCTACATTATTATTCTCTGATCTTTTCTTTTTCTTTGTTATAATCGCTCATCCTCTACATAGTTTCTTCGGAATGTGTTTTCACCTGGTCTAGGCTCTGCTGTGCAGGTTGCCGCAATGCAGCGCGGGCATTCTAGTAAGAGAAGGTAGGTCATTTTCTGGAACTGCACATACATCAGAGAGGCGATATGAATTCCCACACTCAATCCGCTTGGGTTAGCCGTGTTCCTGTCGTCAAGGGATCAATGTGTAGAACCACTCGTCGTAGCACAGGAACAAGTCAGCCCGCGAGGCAAGCCGCACCGACCAGAAGCGACCGGGAGCATGGACATGTAGCGTGGGGAGTTATTTCCTTCGCTTGTACATCATCTGGGGGAAATCTTCAGCGGGGCATAGATAGAGGTGCAGTCATGTAACGCGACGAAGCGGGGACATATTGGGAAGAGAGATGCAATTGCCAGCGCAGGCGATTCAGCTAATAAAAAATCTGCGAATCACTAATATCTCACTCGGCGGCCTGAATGTGTGCATGCCATAGGCTTGGCAACGCATCTTTGAATCCTTGTTCGAAAGGCTGCATGATCTATTTCCACCCCCTCACCAGTAGTAGTTTGGTGACGCTTCACCTTCCTGTACTCCGCAGGACGCCAGAGACCCGCCAAACTCGCAATGATGTTATGTACATTACGTTACAAATATAGTGAATGATGCACACATCAAGGACCGTCCACAATTCTAAGCAGCGTTGCAGCAAAGGCATCGAGTGGGTGGCCAAGGGGGTGACGAGTAAGCACTGCTAACGAGCGCACTGGTGAATGCTAAATGATTTGGCTAATATCGATGACAATTGGCGCCGTTGAACGGCCCTGGACTAGAAATCGAGTCCCATCCCTGCTAGACTGCGGGCGGTAGAGCCCCAGAGGATCATATGGCACCCGATAACCGTAATAGGGACCATAGTCCTCAAATACCGATCCATATGACCCTTGGAGCTCGAGTTCTTGCCTACCATTAAGCCACACAAGGGACCACATTGAAAAGCGGGACTGGATTAGTGAGGTTTTAGTTGCGGCAGGCAAACAGCAGAGCTCAACGGTCTCTTCTGAGTTGCTTGGTGAGAGGTCGTAAAATGGGCGCTTGATCCAGGACTCATCAAGGTCATGCCCCGCATCCGCATCGGATTGATGTGCATAAGCCGAGCCACCTCCTACTAACGGGAGAGTGGATATAGGATCAGGGATGATACATGAGGGAGGTGGAGGGACAGCAGGGTTAATAATCCAATACTTGAAGTTTGTCACCCGATAGCTCGCGAGGCACTGGAATGATTCTGTCGACCAGGTAAAGGCATGGACGCCATCAAAAGCACCAACATATCGTGCTCCTGGAGAGAATCCAAGCGTCCGACGGTGAGGAATGGCCAATTTCTCAGCCTCTCGAGAGGATGAGGAACCGAGCGGATGGTGGGAGGCCAGTTTCTTATCACCAAATTGAGAGAACGGGGAAAAAGGAGAGGCAAGGGGCTGAATGGATGGGTCCTCAGAGGCGGATATGAGCGTCATGTGGTCGTACCAAGCCTTGTCGTACCAAGCATTGTTGTACCAAGGATTACGTGGGAATCGCACAACAAATAATCCGTTATCTGAGACCGTGGTTCCAGCAGAATAGAAACCGGTGGCAAGAGTGCCAAGCTTCACAGAGGTCATATCATCGCCGAGGACTGATACGTTCCCATCGATATCTTCGGTAGCGATTCGGTGGCTGCCATTGACAAATTCGATCCAAACGGGGGTCTCGAAGATCAGGCTGCAATCGACAGATTGTACGCTGATGGTCGATGTCAGCAATTTCGATGATGCCACGATCAAACCCTAGTGCAACATAGCGGCCATCAAGGGAGAGTGCAGCGCACATCACAATGCCACTACGAACATCATGGAATTCAGGTTCTTCCTTGAGCTTCCATTCATCACCCGTTGGCATTTCATTCAATTTCGCCTCTATGACCTCTTGGGTCGTGAGTAAATCCTCGCTTAATGGGATGGCACCACCAGAGAACCCTCCAAAAATGGAGAAGATCCGGACAGGATCAGAGAGATGGCCATATTCACAGTGGGAAGTAACCCTGGCAGATGGTGTAGGGTTGCCCCGGTACCAGTGCCGCTAGGTAGCCCCATTACTATTTGACGGGGCCAACTATCAGATTTCCAATGCCGGGGCCTCCTATCAGATATGCGCAGTCTGACGGGGTCATCCTGACGGGGTGCCCCGGAAGTACTGACGGGGTGCCCTGGAAGTTATTGATAGGTAACTCCGCTTGTTTTAATAGTGAATCATAATATATTCATTTGGCATTGTACTATATAGTAATACATGCATAACTGGTGCTTGTCATTGCGTGTGTCGGAGAAATAGTGCCCCAAGGCTATACTGAGGGTGCGGGATAAACCCCGCGCTTGAACACAGGAGAAAGCCACCCTTGCAGAGATGAGTCTGTGGGGCTGGTGTAGGTCCCAAGAGCAAGTCGGTTTCAAAGATATAATAATCAGTGGGGTAAATGTGGCGGGTAGATCGCAAAGCAAATGATGAGGTGAATGGCGGGGAACACATAGTTTGCTCATCCGTGAAACCCGGCCCACGGGGTTCCAGAACTCCCTGTACCTCACCGAGTAGAAGGAAATGGGAGGGGGAGAAAAGTTAAAAGCATAGTGGTAGGCACACTTTTTGGTCAGGCACCAGCGCGGGCTTTGCAACAGCGCATTGGGCAACGCCATGATAACACATCTGGTTTGCGTCCTTTCATGTCGGTTGGCCCAAAATATCGGCATCAATGAGTGAAGAACGCGTGAGAACGCGTTCAATTGCAAGGGGGTCACCAGCGGCTATTGGCATGGAAGCACTGGCATGCGCGCAACAGAGCATGGGCCCACAGTGTCGGACTCAATAATGGGAGAAACCAAGTAGCAGACACAGATATGGGTCCCACCAAAGGGTGCAATGCAGGCTTGGTCGCCAAGATCGGATGAGCCGATTGCACAAGATCGCTCAACCTGGAGTGGCAATAGAGAGCATTGAAGCACGTATTGTGATGCAGAAAACAGCCAAGAAAAACGTGGCTGCGCATATTATGGATATCCAGCGTCGATTCAATGTGTGTAGGAACACAGAGATAAGAGAGATGACGGGTGAGACGAAGTTCCCAAGCAAATGGCAACTCCCGGACCGACAAGGATGAAGATAGAAACAGGCAGATTGCATGCAATGCTGGCGTACTTTTGCAGAATTCTTATTGCCAATAGTTCTCAGGGCGGAGTTGAGACATACATTGCTCAAGGAACCCAAAACCGATATTAGCGCCCCGCGCTTCGACTCTTCCCAATGGTCTCCTCGCTCAACCATCACATGCCTACGGTAGCCCTGGTACTCCACTTGACTGAGCAGCTGCAGCATTTCGAAGAAAGTGATAAGTATTTTAATGATGGTAAAACCCAGTACAATCTGACGGGGAACTTCCGGCACTGGATAATGCTGAAAAGGGAGGATGTGGAACTCAGCGATGATGAGAATTAGGGATTGGAACGCTCTAAGTTTCTTTTGGTATCAATATGTAAGTCGGAATACAGATGCTAGGTAGCCCCGGTACTACACACGACTGAGCATTTCCAAAAAGCTGATAGGGACTCCCGGCATTTTCGATTAGGTGATGGTGCAACCCAGTACGATCTGATGGGGGGACTTCCCACAGTGATTGTTTGTAAAGGGGCGATGAGAGTGGGATGAAAGGGAGACGCATTCGATAAAGTTTCCATGGTGCGCGTGCGGCAGTGTAGGCCACCTCCTCTAACTCTTCCAGAAGTTGGATTAAATTGTGATTCTATCAAAACGACATCAGACAAGCAATCAGATGAATCATTTATACTCACATTGAACTGACGTAATTCTTTAGGAAGTATCTCGTCCACCTCCGGGCGAGGACTTTGCAAGTGGGTCCATGTCAACACATGGTTTTGCATAATGAAGGAATTAAACTCGTTTTGCAACTCATTTGACTCTTGTAAAAAAAGTTGTGAAGGCTCCAGGTGCTCGAATAAGTATTCAATAACATAGTTGAAGCGCCTGCGATGATCATCCCACTTTTTCTCCATAAATTCCTCCCATTTGCTTTCATCTCCTAACAGGGGACCAGTGGGTACCCCAAACACGTTCCGCCCACAACAATCGTTGAAAAGTCGAAGAAGCGGCAATCCAAGGAAATACCCTTTCACGTCATTGATGAAAAATACTTTATCATTCTCGTCACCAATTGGATTTCCTGTAACGAATTCTTTTGCCGTTGCGTGATAGAAGGAGACACCCTCTGTGTTCCCTGAAGGAAGATCTACGATCGAGCTGATCGGTTCCAATGTTGCACGGATCTCATCCTCCGGAATCCCAAAAACCAGCGACATGAAAGACACGGTCATTGGCTTATGTGCCGCAACAATTGCACCAACCACCAAGCGGTAATTCTTGGCCACATCCGAGGGAACTCCAGATGAATCCAGCACATAGCCTTGTCGAAGAATTCGCAAGTACTCCCTACCAAGGTCGGCAGGCGTGTCAGGGAGGTTGAGCAGGTTCTGGAACGCCGATTGTAGGGTACGGCCACGCCGTGTCTGCAGGCCGACATCGCGAACTCGGATAGATGCCATAACAGGTAACCCACGACAAGCTCGAGCAAAAGCGGTGAGTCCCTTCTTTGTTGGTTTCCACGAAGATTCACTAATGAGCTCCTGGAGGCCATGCACCACCATACGCCGGACTGTGCCAAAAGCTGCATCTTCCACGATGTCGTCCACATCTTCACATGGGATGACAAGACCCTTGGCTTGAGCCTTAGACCAAGCTGAAATTACTCCTGGCTCCGGACGACAACTAACTAGCACAGCGAATGCCGGTGGCAGCTCCTGAAGGACAAGAACTAGCGTCATCAAGGACTTGAGTATCTCCTGATTCCCACACTCATCGAGGCCATCCAAGACAATGACAACGCGATCCTTGCCCAAAGACCATATGTCCTTCAGCTCATGCATCGGCTCAATCATCAACATTTTCATTTGTTTTTCCAAGGGGAAATTTTGAACTGAGGCCAAAGTCGGTTTCTGAAGGTGTCTGACAAGCGACAATTTGAAGTCCTCGCTGAAGGATGCAAGCTGGTGAGCAAGGGTAGAGGGAGACTGTTCGATGGAATCCAAGCCCATTTCTCCCTGGTTCTTATCCCAGAAGTATGACGCTGCCAGAGTACCGCATTTCTCGAGAGTGGATGCGACACTCAAAGAGATCGCAGTCTTCCCCGTCCCGGGAGAACCCCTTAACCAAACAAATCGGTTCTCGGGATTTTTCAAGTGCCTGAGCAAGGATTTTCGCATCTTGGCCCGCGTTCCCGGTAGACAGTCTGATTTGCTTGTCACACATGTGTGCTCGGCCGGGGCACACTTAAGTCTCGATAACTCAGCTGGAATTATCGATGATTAAGCAATCTATGGGTATGTGAACAGACACATACACTGAACGGATGAATGCTCGGTACGAAGCAGAATTAAAGTCAGTGATCTCAGCTGTGACAAACACGGTGAGTCAGCATATGACCATTCAAAGGATTTCGAGTACGCAAACCTCAAATCGATGAATGGCATCATTTAGGCAATACTTCATATTCATTATTTGCTGTGTTATATCGGACGCTTGGATGGTCCTCTCGACAACATGTCTCTTCTGGACTGATTCAATCTCTTTCACTTGTTTTTGCAAAGACCTACGAAGAGAATGAGCAAACGTGATCGAGAGGAAGATAAGATGCATACATGTGGAATTCCTGCACTAGGGTCTTAAGCTCAGGAGGAATTTCTCCGGTCCACTCCCGGAGGGGCTCAAGCACTGATTCTTGTGTTTTCTGAATGACCGTGCACAACTGATCGAGTTCCTCGGTGTTTCCGCTAACATTCTGCATGCATCAGGTGTGAGAGGCGACCACGATCAAGATCATCAAGAAGAGGATTCACGAACTTCATAGATGTTAATCCATGCCAGAAGCGTGTTGGGGATTTGATCAAGATTGGGAATGGGGACGAGCTTGAGCGCAGTGGCTGCGGTTCGGAGGAAGGCTTTGGTGCCGCCGATGATCTGCTTCTTCCCATCGCCATCGGATATAAGAGGTGCTTCATCCGTGACAGCGGATGAAGCAGCCAGAACTGACGGCTTGATATCTGGTTCGTGCTGCGTGCGGACGCTCGCGCTCGCGTCGCCGTCACCACCAACGAGTGCAGGCAGAATCATTTCGGTAGAGAGGAATGGCCATGGATCGTTCGGGGATGCCTGGACGGGCGTCGTCATAGGATAATTCGGCTGGGGCGTACTTGGTTGGGTGCAGCGATTGGCGCTTCTCCGGAACAGCTTAGATATCCTGTCTCGAAAGCGCGTTGGTTGCTTCGTGGCATCATCCTTTGAGGTGCCACTCGTGGGAAGGGTACCAGGATGTGAACCTGCGGATTGATTATGATCTCCATGAGTCTTTCCGTCGTCTTCAGTTACAGAAGCCGTGATCTGGATGTTGGAAACATTAGGGGATGGTGCCTGCTGTCGATAATTAGGAGACTCGGGGGCGTGCCGTGGCTTTATCCAGGAGGGGAAGCGGTAGGATTTACGGTCTTTGGGCATGGCGCACTGTATGGTAGCTGGCGATCACAAACGGGTGTGTTGAAGAAAACGTTCGGTGGCAAGAGCTGCTCTTACATGATCTATGTGTGAACCTGAGGCTGTTCGCCCTTAGTGGACGTAACGATGTTGACCGCCAGACGATGAACTAGAAATTGGTGAATTAATCGTCTCCCAAAAAGGATCAACACACACGTGTTCCCCAACAGAACAGAGCGACACTCATGAGTGCTAGAGCACTTGAGAGCCTTGTCAGGTTTTCCTGATGAAATTCGACGTGCGCTTCCACTTCCATGAAGCAACCAAACATCGGAGAGTATGTGAAATAGTGTGTGTACAGGGTAAACCACCCCAAGACAGCGATGAGCGAGAAAGCGCCACTGGGATATATAACTTGGCACCGAATCCCAGTCTGTACTCTGTACTTAGGCAGGATTCCAGCCTCTGTGACTTCGTAATATTAAATAGACGGAGTACCATAGCACACAAGCCTAATTTAATCTCGCACCCCCATTGAATGGATACTAATTCCCAATTTTTTGGACCTTCTCAAGCTCCGTACTACTCTTGGGTAATAATCCTTTCTTCAGATCGCCACCCACGCGCAGGCAAAATTACGACAGCATTGCTAGTCCAAAAAAAAAGGGAACTGATGTACAAATTGCATCGGAGCGAGTAATTTCAGGGATAAAGCAAACCAGAAAACAATAAAAAGGGCTTTGCTCTATACCTTCGTGAATGCAAGAAAAAAAGAAGGATGAATGGAAAAAAAGGAAGGGGGTGGGGGAGGGGTTGGGGAAGGGGAGCTGAAGGGAATGGGAATCGAAATGAAAGAAGTTTGGAAAAAAAGAAAAGTTAATAAATTAAAAAGGTGAAAAAAAAAAGTGTCGTAAAGTGAGGAATAGATAGATAATGCATTTGTCAAAAAAACCCGTTTGGGTCCGTGCGAGGGGGGTAACAATGCAGATGAGAAGAAAAAGGACAAAAGAAGAGTTAGACGATAAAAAAAAAGAGAAGAGTGAGAAGGAAGAGAAACGGCGGGCGGGGAGGAGCCAAGTTTGATGATATCAGACTGTTTAACAGAGACAGGGGGGTTGGGGGGGAGAGCGGAACTTACGGAAGAAGGGGAAAAAAGAAAAGGAGCGTCTTTCCGGCATGATTGTACGTTCCAAGTGAGTGGTAAGAGAAGTCGCGCACTTGCACGTGTTTATGGAATCGATCAGGAATTAATGGTACGAAGAGATAGTGTAGCTTCATGCAGGGTCAAAAGAATGGTAGGGCGGGTAGAAGTGGAGAGTTAAAAGTTGGAAAAAAAAAATGGGATGAGGGGTGGGAGACCCGATTTGGCCCTTTGGGTTGGAGAAAAGAGACGAGGGAAGCGGAAATGAGTGAAAAATATGGAAAGAGGTTAAGAAGGGCGCAGAGCGGGGAGGTTCATGCTTAGACAGTATTGAAAGAAAAAACCAATATATTGGTACCATAACTCAATGCATCTTCCAACTCGAGGGAGCTTGCCTACTGGATTGACCATTTCGAGCAGCCGGAAGGGCTTGCGAAGCAGGAGCGGTCCTCGTTCGCTGACGAGGTCTAGGTAGTCCTCCCGCCTCAGACGCAGCAGATTTATTTCCCCCTGTCCCAGCACCGGATTGTCGAGGGAAAGCGACCCCACTCGTCCGTCCTGTAGACTGCGCGGCAGGCCCGAACGACCCTCCATAAACAGAAGCAGATCCCCAATTCGAGGGTTCACCCAAAACGGAACGTCCAGTGCCGCCACCATACATTGACGCCGGAGAGGACGGGAACATCGGCATACCCATAGGCATACCCATACCCATGCCCATGCCCATTCCCATAGGCATAGACATAGGGCCCATGCCGCCCATCAAAGAGGGCGTGCCCATCACACTCCCTTGCATCCCAAACGCAGCCGTAGCATTGCTCGATCTCTCCCACTCATCATTGGCAGCTGCTAGAGCCTGCTGTGCAACTGCAAATTGATACGTCTGCTTCGCAATAAACATGGCCTGTTGATGAGCCGCAACGTACGCCGGGTCCATGGTCGTAGGTGTGGGAGGTATGGCAACCGGGCCAAACGCACCGGCACCCGTATTACCAACACCAGTATTCGGCCCCATGAAAAGAGCTTGAGACATCCTCGCTTGAGCTTGAGTCCAAGCTTCCCAGGCTTGTTGAGGAGTACCAATACCACCCCCAAGATTAGCAATCGCATCATCATGATCAGTGATGATAGGCGGAGGACCATTGACCAAGTTCCCAAGCTGTCATAATAAGTGATGCAAAAGGATTCATCAGCATCACTGCAAATTCATCCCAAAAGGGGTCATGTACGCACCTCAATCGCAGCTTTGGCCTCACTTCGTCTCCTGTCCATCCTCTGCATTTCCGGATCTTTCGCCTTCTCTATCTTAGCCAAATCCGCACCTCCCTTCACGGCGATACTGGTATTTCCACCCCCACTCCCAATGCTCGAGCCCTTAACATCCGTTTCAGGGGTCTCGAAAGAAACACTGCGCCTCTTCGCATGATTGGGTCTGGGCAATCCCCCATTCCCAATACCGCCTCCATTGCCTCCGCTATTGCTCATCGCGCTAACCCTCGAAATCACCGCACCACCACCACTCGCGGTCGCTCCACTACTCGTCCTTCCTTTAGCAAAACCATTACCAAACGAAGCATACGCACTCCCACTCCCAAGACTGGGTTCACTTCCGTCTCTAGGCGTAACGGGGAACTTCCCGCTACTCGAATCTCCAACAGAAGAAGCCGGTGAAGAATCAAAATGACTCTGCCTAAACGCATGTGAGAATGGACGTTGTTGTCCAACGCTGAGAGAAGTGGTAGGAGGAACGCTATTGGAAGGAGGGAGGGAAGGTTGAGATTGATGCGCCAAAGGTTGTTTGGATCCAAGCGGTAGGCCAGCACTATTGTTACCTGTCGTCATTGCACTCGACATCCTCGCTTGCGAACCTCCAACACCCGCAATCGGAGATCCAGAATTGGGTAAAGGCGGTCTCCTGCCTACAACTCCGGGCGAATGGGAAGTAGAAACACCCACATCGGATTTGGATGAAGGGATATGATTTCCAGCAGGAGTAGAAAAAGACCGTCTCGTTGCGGGCTTGAGCACAGAGGAAGGGGGTCGATTGGCCGCGCCGCCAGCAGATCCAGCTACACCTTTCTTGCGCGAAGGTGAAGGTGCTAACCCACCACCACTGCTACCAACACCAGAAGCAGTTAATCTCGTCACAGACGTAGACACGCTCAAAGTAGACATCGACGTCCCAGGTCTCTTAAGCCCCGTAAGACTCGACAACGGTGCATCCTCATCACCCTCTTCCCCTTCCCTTCCCTCATCATCATCATCACTATCAGCCTCCGACTCCTCCTCATCACTCGTCTCACTTTGGTCCGCAAACATAGAAACAGCACGTCTCGCAGCGCCAGAACTAGGCTGCGTCACCTTCCCTTTCCCACCCTTCCCACTCTGCCTCCTACCACCGCTAGCACCAGCACCAGCACCTTCCGGGGACGAGGCACCAAGAATAGGCGTGGACTTGGACCCTTGGGATCGACCATAACTCGCTAGCGAGCTAGATGCCCTCGCCTGTTCGCCTACATGACTCGTACTGCGGTCCGTCACAGTCGACCCAGACTCACCACGAGAGTGAGACGCCTTGAACGGTTTAACGCCGGTTCCTGTACCTGTGACCGTGACCGTACCCGTGCTAGTCACCGTCGATACGGACGATTGTCGGGGCTGAGCAATAGCCGAAGCAGAAGCTCCAAGCAAAACAGAAGCACTTGGCGGAGGCCGAGCAGCACTTCGCATAGGTCGAGTGGGTGAAGGAGGAGATTGAACAACAGGACTCGAAGGTTGAGAACGCGATTTTTGATAAAAGGCTGATTTCGACAAGGGTCCTGGATTCTTCGCAGTGATCGTATCCTGTCTCCCAAGATTCGACTCGGAACGACTGAATGAATTCTTGGCGTTACTGATAAGGCTGTTATCACCACTGTTTTTGGTGGGGCTGGTATTGTTGCTGCGATGGTGGTGTTGGTGGTGATGATGATCGGGACTTCCATCCTTGCTATCATCCTGAGCAAACGACGACCGTCGAGGGCCATTATTTGATGCAAACGTAACAAAAGACTTGTTATCCGCCCCACCCCCAGCCGTGGATAACCTCAACCCTGGGCCCACAGGCGAAGAAGGTTGCTGCTGCTGTTGTTGTTGCTGTTGCCCCAAATCCCATCCCAGCCACAAGGACGTCGCAGCAGACATCAACGAAGACGCATCCGCATCCAACGTAAAAGACGTCCGATTAGGTAACGGAGGTTCATCGCCCGCGGGCCCTAGGATCGGCGAACCATTCATATGAACAGAGCTTCGTCTGGCTTGTGCCTGACGGAAGGCTGCAACGGTAACCCTTTGTGACGATTCTGAACCGACGCTATCACCCCGTGGTCGACCGATTGGAGGCAGTGCTGCATCAAGGGACGTTCGTGATGGTGACAAGTTGGTGGTTGTCGAGAGTGGGTGAGAAGATGATGTGATGATGGGTTTGGAAGGACCCGGTGATACAGGTCGAACTTGTCTGAATCCTTTCACTTTGAACGTATCCGAATCCTCATCGTTATTAGACGTGGACGAAGAGGAAGTGACTCCACCTGTCAGAGATCCCCCGGAGGCGAGCAATCGTGTTCGGGGAACGGGCGGGATGGCCGAACCAGATTGTTGAGATGAAGACGATGTGTTTTCCGAGCTTCCCTCGGCACCACCATTACGACCCTCCCTGGAATTGGATTTAGATTTGGATGATTTGAACCACCCGAATATTTTGGATTTGCTTCGAGTAGACTTGAATGAATTCTGACTTCCTTCTGTCGAGCTCCTTGCCCTTTGATGCGTGAGGCCACGTTCCGAACGCGTTATTGCACCGGAAGGAGTTTTGGGTGGTGATCCGGAATGGGACGGGATAGCATCAGGGAGCGATTGTGATGATGTGACCCTCAATAAACCATCACTATCATCACTATCACTATAGGCATAACCTCCAAAGACAGCCGAACGTGAAGGAGGTGGTCGTAGCGAATCCGAGGAGGCGAGATGAGGTAAAGAAGGTGATGTTGTCCGTTGTTGAACACCGTGAGGCGACGGCTTTCCGGAAGATTGTCGATCTGGAGTATGTAATGTTGTCACATTGAGTGAAGGTCTACTAGGTAATCCGTTCCCAGCCGCACGCCTTTCGCTTCGAGAGGGATTATCCGGTAGCCGTTCGAGACGTCTAGGGTACGAAGAAGGATAGTTACTAGATGAGTCGTCGCCATCAAGTCCATTCGGCGAGGGTGAGGGACGGGTGAGTGGCGAATGAGGGGATTTGTGTCGACGAGGAGGAGGGGTAAAAGGGGGAGGAGGTGTTGTTGACCGAGATATCTGGTCATCGTACTGAACGTTTGTGCTCTGCTGCTTGCCCTTCTTTCCAAACAGACCGCCGAAAAATGGCATGGTTTGAGCTGGAAAGGCCTGTACGCCCATATCACGTTGCATGCACCCAAAACAAAGGAGGTGGAAGATTATTATAAGAAATAGAAAGGAAAGGTGATTAGAACGTGTCAGGAACGAGCTTGATAGAGTGGAAAGAAACGTACTATAAGCTAGCAGGTTAGGAGAAAGAAAGGAGAGGGAGGGATGAACGAGGCGAAATGTGGTGGTTGGTCGAAGAGTTGGGTCGTAAAATTAGTGGGAATTGCCGTAATGTCTGACGAACCCCGTAAATTGATCGTCAGGTCGTTCCGTACAGCCTCACTGGGAGGTTTTGGATAAGTTTTCCGAGGTAGGTTGCGGGGAGAGGGAGAACCCCAAGTTGTGAAAGCGATGGGAGCAGCAGTGAAAAGTTGGCTCGAACCACCCTGGGTGGTATATAGCGGAATAAGAATGTGTGTGTGTGTTGAATTTATATATAGCATGTGTTTGAATCTCACATTCATTTGCCTCTACTAATATTTTCTCGCTTTACGTACAACATGATTACTGTCAAACGCTTCAACTCAAAAACGTGGATGGATATCCTTTGCAGACATCATTCACACGAGCCTATTTCCCATAAACTGCACCACCCCTCATGCAACACCTCGCGGGCTCAGAGCGAACCTAAACAGAAGCAAACACTCCTTAATCGCTCGTTTAGGTAGGAATCCGTGCTTGGCAGCAAGTATCCCTGCATTGAGGGGGGGGAGATAACATATAAACGGCCATTTTGAGCAACGGACCTTTCCTCAAGAACCATGGCCGCGAAGACGTACATAGCAACATGACCATTTTCAGAAATGACGTATATATAGGCACCAACACAAATCGAGTAATACCCAACGCCGGGCCACAGTATCGCTTCCGATGGGCGCTGCCCCTCCGGCCATAGCCTGCATGGCAGCAACCATCATCAACTCACCAGATCTTTCCCCCACGCCACTGCTTTTCCAAGGTACTCACCGATCTCCGTACACCCGTGGCTTTTGCTTGCCTGACTAAAAGAAAAATTCAGTACATTTGTGTTCTGTTCGGGCACTCGTGCATCGTCCCCAGTACAATACATACAATCTGCCACCCAGCCAACACCATCACGGAGAGAATGTTCCGTCTGCGCACACGCGACTGTCACGCAACCGGTAAAACAACTTGACGGGAAGATCATGGCATGCTTTTTGAGTGCGCTATTATACGGCAACCCAAACGGCGAACTAGAACGCAGTGCGCGTGCGTGCGTGCACATCAATATATATCCCAACCCCCCGCCGGCACGCCCCCCAGTACCTCAACGTTGGAACCCTGCCGCATGCAAGGCAGCCAAGCCGAGCTTGAAGCCGAGCATGATGAACGTGCGAGCCATGGCGGTATAACCACATCCATAATATTTCGCCATCAAATGTACAAGTCATCCTACTTCTCCGCTCTTCCAAGCTGCCGCTGCATTGACGGCTTGGAGGCTTACTTATCAGTCAGCCGGAAAATCGCCAGTTCGACGGTGCGGGCCCCTCCAACACGCTTCTCACATCTCCGTGTCAGTCCGAATTGAAGAATCCCCGAGCTTCTCTTCTGGCCGCGCGTCTGGCAGCTTCACCAACCAGCCCCTCTAGGCTTGCCAGGTCTTCATATCATATCATATCATATCATATCGCACCATGCATGGCCAGTACCAGCAATCCTATTCATACAATTCCGCAATGCTTTCGGCGGCATACAAAGCAACTATGTGTAAATGTAGGACTGCGCAGCCAACGATGCCTCTTATCCTCTCCTATCCCTTCTTAGCCACCTCTGCTCTTTCCCTCTGCTCTTTCTCGGCTCTCTCCAGCTCCATGTTTCGCCTCAACACCTCGGCATTAAACTGATGCTTCCTGTACGTGCCCCATACGTACGTAGCAATAGGACGTAATTAAGGCACACACACAGCATACCGATTGCGATCGCGTTCGGTCGACAGTAACATGATCCCACCCACGCACCCACCCCAAAGGATCGCGATGAGAGAAGACCCGGGGGGGTTTGCAAAAAGAAAAAGAAAAGAAAAAAGGACGAATTGGTCGTCAGTATCAAGTCGAACATACGACTTTCCACAGAGCACACAAAACCTTCACACACACAAACAGATAAATCAGACTACATATGATCGCAGGAACGGGGAAACCGGCTTCGCTCGCTGATCGTCAGGGGATCCGGCGAGCGAACGAACGTTCCTCGCGCGCACTGTATGTACGAGTTATACGCGTCCATACAATTTTCCCCCAACAATAACAAAAAAAAAAAGTATATGACGTTCTCACGCGTAGAATTCGCGAAGGAAGGAAAAAAAGAAGATTATTCACGCACCCTATTGCGTGATCCCTCATTTGTCGAAACTTAGCAGCATCCATCACGGGGCGCGTTCCGGCATGAGCGCCGGCGCCGCTCGCCGGATCCGTAGATGACGAGTGTTGAGATGACATTATGATATGATAGGATGATGCGCGATTCTTCTTTATGCGCGGCGATAACTGCGTCGCACGGTGTGGTTGTTGTTTTTTTAGTCAGATATGGGTAGATCTGAGCGTCACTGCGCGCGCGCTACCAATATGACGGGCAGTTGTGGTGGTAGTGAAGCACGATGACGGCAGGACCTAACCTCTATTTATACTTTTATCCGAGTTTATACTGTGATTATTACTGATGCCGTACGCAATATAGACAGTGTGCCCCATCCTATGACTTGTGACGCAATTCTTTTGCACCGCTTGCAACGACTTTGACTGACAGCACAATTACAATTATTTAGCACTGACGCCACGACAATTAACGATTTGTTCCGGCCTTATGCCTTATCGCTTACTGGCTACTTCCGAAGCTAGTTGTAGTTTTGTCACAAGGTCAAATGACGAAAAAGTAACCAAGTACGGAGTAAGTAACCTCTCCGGAACCTTTTGACACAATCGAACTCCGCCCCTTCCCCATTCTTCGCTTTCCTGTGCAAATCAATTACGTGTAGGTGCCTCTAACCCATAGCAACCTTCATTTCACCCTGTGGCTAGGATCGCGAGCGTGTGGAGCCCTCGACAACGCGTGGATAGCGAACAAGCCTCGATCGATCAGCTGCGTCCACATCGACTCCCGACTGGGTCGGGCACTCCACACTACTATAGAGGCTGGTCACCTGCCTAGTCAGACACGCCGCAATCGTTCTACTACTGCAGGGCTTTTTTAATTACACCAGCAGAAACTAGTCCCACAATCGGTACTTCCCAAGTAGCTTGCAGCGAGCAAACGGGAAGTTGTTGTGTCCAGTTCTCGATTTGCTGGTAAGAGATCGAGCTAGCTGGGCTGTACATACATACATGCACCAACTCCATGAGTCAAAAACCCGTTCCTCCCAGCGAACTGTGACTCATTCACGGCAATGATCTAAGCTACTAGCCACCACTTCGCATTCTTAACAACCTTAGACTCGGGGACCATTAACTGTTTGAAAGTTTTGATATCAACTACTATGGCTTCAACAAAGTCAAGGGATTCCCTTAACAGTACTATGTTGGCGCATTCTCTCTCCGAAGTCCAACAACTGAATGAGTGGTACTAGCTTTTGTTGTGTTTCTTCGATCGAAGGGGTATGAAACTTCGTTTCCTTATTCGTGGCGACGTTCGAAAGGTCTTTCACTCAAATGAACAACAACAACAACTGGCTTGGTTTACGGCTCGGCCTGGCTTTGGGTGGAGCCGAGCGCACTATATAGAATATATTAGTACTCAACACAGTCCACCCTGGGAACATCTGAAGGGTGTGGAACTCGAACGGCTCTTGCTTAGCACTTACCTATTGGAAATCGGACCTCGGATGTTCTCACATCATCGCAATATAGCTGGAACACCATAGTGCTCGGATATGCCTGGTATGACCGAGTTGACCATGCACCCCTCGATCCTATTCCTTACACTCCGATGGAACTCGTGATACATTCATCAGAGAAATCACAACAGCCACCATGCAAGATATACAAGCAATATATGCATCTCCAAAACGCCGGCTAATTCCCTGAAAATAAAACCGTGTTGTTGGCGGTAGGTGTGGATCCCACCCTTTTTTTAAAAATTTGAACACCTCCGCTGAATATCCCAAGATGGTGGGCAAGGCACGACTGATCGCAATATCAGTCTCACTCTTACGCACCGGACCAGTCTTCCGATCCGGCATCACCCCGACCACGCGCTTTTTGTCCGCCTCTCGTCCATCAACCACCTCACGCCCCCCTTCATTTCTTTCCGTTTCTTATCCTGACCCAGGTTCGTGATCTTTGTCCTTAAGGTTTATGCGTTGAATGAGGAGCAGGGTCTTTGGGTGTGTGTGTACGTTGATGGATCGGATCCGGCCCTCTTCAACACCCTCCTTTTTGTCCGCCTTCCGCTTCTTTCCGAGGGGTCTTTCTACCGCCAAGTCCACTTTTTTCAACATTCTCTCCACTACATATGTAGGGATTTGATTTGGAAGAGACGCGTATGCTGGAGGATCACATTTGACCTCTCCATCATACCTCCTGGGTCCTCTTTCACCACCGCCACCACTACCTCCGTGATAACCCCCATTTTATTCATTCTCTCCACTACCTCTTAGTGACGAGGTGCGATAGTAGTAACGCCAATGAAAGCCCTATAAGCCCGGACCAAGCTGACTGCAGGTTCAAGTCCTGCCATCATCCCAACAACTTTCACTTTTCTCCACTACCAACATTTCTACCACCGGCCTCTCTGCCACATGCTTTCATTCTCTCATTCCTAACTTTTTTCCCGTTCCTTCTCCCGACAATAAGGCCGCGTTGAAAATCCTTACCCTGCCGGCTGAAGATCAGGGCCTTCAGCTGGACAGGCCACATTATGCATATGCCGGAGGTTCAAACTTGACCTCTCCAACATGGCGTTTGGCCTCTTTCTGTAAGTTTGATTGAAAAGTTGTCTCGTGAGCGGTGTAACTGGCGCGTGGCTGGCCAGGGGGTCGTTGTTGCGTCGAGTTGGTAGCTCCCTCGATAAGACGTTTTCCCATCTCGCCAATGGCCTCAAACATGGAAAACGTAGTAAGTACGTTTTTTACATAAGAGATGCACTAACTGTTGCCGTTCCCGTGAACTCTAGAAGACCACCGAATTGCAATGCCAATGCCAAAAGTTCCGCCGCTTGAAGTCTTCCAAAGGGATATCCGAAGTTGTTTCTTCAGTTGTTTCTTCTCGAACACAAGCAGGACTATCTGCTTCTAACTTCGTTTCTGTACGGGACTCTATTTTAGCGACTTTCTTCCCACAGCACTCTCTGCTTTGGAATCTGTCAACACCAAGTTAGCGGCTGGGTATTTGTGTATGCGCGCGCGCGGGGGGGGGATTCTTGCTTACCGGCATTGCTTTTGCGCTTCCGGGATCTTGATCAGTTTCTCTTTCCTTCGTGCGGATGGCTCTTGAGACGGAGCGCGGATCGGTTGCTCGTGCAAAGGCATACCGGTCTACAGCATACGAAATATGGTAACTGCTGACATCTTACCTAGAGCCACCATATCAAACCTCCTTTGTCAGCGAGACTCGAACAATGCAGTCTGGCTGTGAGATCATAGCCCTCACCCGCGCTCCATCTTCCTAGCGCCTCAACAGCACCCTCCCAATCGAGGGAGAGCTTTTGGAGTCCTAACAAAACTCCTTTCTCGGCGGCGATGAAGCTTCAAATCCCTACTTTCCAAGAGCAATCTTGGATGACAGACTCGATATCAGGTCTCCCACTGACGACTTACGTGCCTTGAACATTGCTCAAAAAGGTTCTCCCCGCGGGGGAGGGGTCGAGTGAAGCAGAGTTTTTCTCAAGGGTGTTGACATATTTCGGGAGTGTGGCGCCGACACCAGTGCGATGTTACGCTTGAAGGTCCTTCCTATGCCGTAAAACAAACTGCCTGTCTCAATCCCTGGAGAATCCCCAACGGAAGATTGTCAGTGCCGATCAGCCTGAGGGAGATTATATTGCAGAATATGGATGGCTGATACTTGGTGTGCCGAGTCCAACGAAGCGAAGCAAGTACTCTAGTTGCTGATCATCGAGTACCGATGTTTAGTAAATAATCGCCTTAGGAGGCAGCGGTGACATGAAATAACTATTAGTGCAATATTTCCCAACAGGCATCACCCATCGGCCGCTTCCGGAGGGAAGCAGACCAGAGTCAGCCGGCATGGGAACCGGGACTTCTACGATCTCATTTCTTTTGGGCCTCCCCCTCCACCGACCCTCTGCCACCGCTGCTCTTCCAACTCCCAATATCTTCGCCAACGCCACCACTAGTTGCCTCTCCCGTCCCTTTCCTGAGACAAGTGAGATGACTGCGTTTATGATCCGGTTAAGACTGGAGCATTGGCGACGGCGTCACACCCTCGATCGTGCTAGGCTCACATCGGCCCCGTCGGGTCGGACGCCACATCTTTTACATAGCATTGACCAGTATATTTCATGGTCGTATTCGTATTGATATTCTCCACCAGGTAAGGAAGTATCGAGTTGGTTTGCAGGGAAAAGGTCTAGCAGATTAGGGTTGAATTTTTGACGAAAAGAAGAGAAAGTCGGAACCGGGCCATAGCCGTGCGTCCATTGTTGAGGTAGTGCGGGGGAGGGGTGACGATGAATTTGTGCATGCGGTAGAAGAGAAAGGGAAAGGAATATAGTACAGGGGAGGAAGTTCAACGAACGTTAATAAACATTTGATCTACTTGTAGGAGAGAAGATAAGAATACGGGCACTTACGATCTTGTAACCAAGCACACACCGGTTATATTGAAAAGAAGTTGTCAGTACCATGGCTAGTCACAACTGCTAATTGCGACTCTCACCTAACAGGATCCAAAAAAGGCGATATCTAACATATAAATAATCATGGTCGGTCGTGGAAGACTTCCGATTGGATCGGTTAATGCCATTGTGACGTTGACCTCAATCCTGATTGGTTCTTTGAACATCCCATGACTCTAACTTCGCCATCTTATTGGTTGTCCAGCCGCTCACTCTGTCACGTTTTGGCTTTCGTCACCTGATGCGCTCAAACGATAACCTCCTTCGCTTCAGTTCTTCCCACTTCACGCATACCGTGTTTCTGGAAAGCGGAAAGTCTTAGTGACTCGCTGCTATTACAGAGATGCCGAATGTCCGTGACATCGTCGCATTCTGGGGTTCTGCCAATAGAGGTTTCTGGAAAGCAGAGTGTCTCTCCGATCGACTCGCTGCTATTACAGAGATCTCTACGTGCCTATCCTCCATCGCATTCGCCACCCATCAGTACTTCAACACCTCCCCATCTTAGCTTATCCCCTCTTTGAGTCACCCTCATTTCCCCCGTCTCATTGCCAATGTTGGAGTCATCCTGTGAGTCTTATTATCACATGCTGCCCATAATGAGCGCATTCCGTCTTTTTGGGACAACATTCCGTTGTCTTCTTTTGTTCGTACTTAAATCCATGCATCCAAATGAGATGAACAGTTCATTCCTCTTTCTACTCAATCATGTCCTCACATCCTGAAGCTATTCGCTCCCGAGATCGTCGTATGCACAACGATGGCTCCACTGTCCGTGGGCGCCAAACTACGCATGTCCTTTCATTCGCTATTTTTCGTGTATTCACCCCACTGTTCGTTGATTAGTGATTTAATGACAGACTCTCAATTTTGGGCTCATTTCTTCACGCTTTCACCATCACCTGAACTATTTCCATGGCGGACTGAGCCCTGTGGGTGGTGTGGAGCTTTATTGTTAGAAACTGAAGCTTTGGGTTGGTGTTGCCGACAGGGAACCAAACGTATTCCCCCGCTTCCTCCGTTGCCTCCATCTTTGGCTGGATTCGTGGCCACTTCTCCCACTAACGCTGGCAACGCTTCCCGTGCTCTGAATTATTTGTTTAATCTCGGTGCACAAGGAGTGAGCGGAGAGTTTCATTCTTTCCAAGGTCTATTTCGTCGCCCTTTGACGTCCCATTTTTTCATCATGTTTTGCAGGGCCCTATTCACTTTGTATCACTGGTCGTACTTACCATCGAATTTTACCCAGCCTTCGATCTGGCCATCCGATTCACTGGTTTTTGTACGATCCAGTCGGTGCCTCCGCCGCTATTTTACAGTCCAATGTATCCTCCGCCACTGTGGAGGCAATTCGTGTCGAACTTCTTAACATCAATCCTCTATTTCACAAATTTCAAGACTTTGCTCGCTTTCAACCCCAACTCCCCAACTCCCCAACGTTTCCATGCAAATCCAAGATCCTGGTGTCTCTAATGAGATAGCCGCTATCTACCATGTCGGTGCCGGTGCCACTCATGACCCACGTTCAATCTATGTCCAACGTCGACATGATGCCACTCCAACTCCCATTTCTATCTTAACGAGCCACTCCAATACCCCATTCTTTTCCCGCACGGAATTGGAGGATGGGGGGAGATTTACCGTCATGTTCAGCATGGCCATTGGACTCAAATTTCATGGTACAAGTACCGTCTCCTCACTGAGCCTCGGTTTCATCAATTGTGGAGACTAGGATGTGAATGGATCATCGATATGTATGTTTTCCCGAGTGGAAGACCAACGACTCTTTCTCATTAAACAAGGAAAACAACTCGAGTATGAACGACTGTTACGAGCTGATGAAGACGAACTGGATGAAGAACAACATTTTTTTCAATTACCATCCACTATGCTGAAAAAGTGGCAGATGCGCTTGCGTTAGCACGTCAATATGGTAAACCGGACTTGATGATCACTGCAACTTGCAATCCAAATTGGCCGGAAATCACTGCGAGACTATTACCGGGCCAAACTGCGACCACTGCTCCTGTAATCACCGCATGTGTATTCTGAGTGAGATATTCCATTTTCTTTCCTCTATATCTACTCAACCGATGCTTTCAGGCTCGCCTATTGCGATTACTCAAAAGAATGGAGACCATCTTCAATGGTTTCCAATACTTGGTGTACGCTATCGAATTTCAAAAACGTGGTTTGCCACATGCTCATATTGTAGTCAAGGTATCGAAATTTTGCTTTATATTGGTTTCTCTCACTACCACTGTTTATTTCAGCTGTCACATCGACTCGACTTTGAGCATATCGATTATATTGTGTCTGCAGAAATTCCTCGTGCCCCCAGTCGTCTGCGTACCTTGGTCACTTCCCACATGATCCATCGTAATGACCATCTCCATCCTCGACATGCACGCACCAGTTGTTGTAATCGGAATGGTCAATGTGTTTATGGTTTTCCACATCCTGTGCTACCTTACACCCAGCTCAATGAAAAACAACGTGTTTCCTATCGACGTCGTTCACTGGAGGATGCTTGGGTTGTACCCTATTCCGCTCCTCTACTCTTAATATGGGAAGGCCACATCAATGTCGATATCGTATTTACTGCCGATGTTTTTCTATATTTGTTCAAATATCTGTTCAAAGGAGTAGATCATGCCCGATTTCGGATTGGTGATGTAACTGAAGTTGATGCTGTGGACGAGTATATACGAGGACGATATGTCTCTGCCCCTGAAGTGGCATGGAGAATTCTCGCGTATGACATTTGTCGACAACGTCCCTCTGTGTCATGTTTAAAAATCCACGAACCCAATCAAAATCGATTTCAGTACTCATTCAATGGACATGCCAGGGGTTGGGCCCCTTCACAAGCATCAGATCTGATACGATATTTTAACCGCCCACTTCACCCGATGTTCGATGAAATCAAATTCATTGATTACTTCCAACTTTTCACTCTCCGTCCAATCTCCTCTTCTTCTCCATCTGAATATTGGTCTGAGGCAACTACTTTGCCCGACATTCCCCCTCGAATTGTACTACGACGTAAACAACCCACAATTCAACGCTTGCAGTCTGTCAGGCCCGGAATGGGAGAGGTGTTTTACATTCGCGCTCTTCTACTCACCTTTCCCACTCGATCATTCAAATCGCTGTGAACCATTGATGGAACTCTCCATCCTTCTTTCCAATGGGCTGCCCAAGCAGCCGGTTTATTTGCCAATGATTTGGAAGGATTATGTGCAATGGAAGATGCAGTGGCATCGTTTAAATCTCCCGCTCAACTGCGCTTTCTCTTTGTTCTTTTGATCTTGGAAGGTGCACCAGCCACTCTGATTTGGGATCGTTTTGCTGATGACATGGCACGTGACTATGGAGGAAACCTGAATGGGACCATGAATGAAGTGGTTAAAGCTCGAGCATTATTAGACATTCAACGCTCGCCACAACAATGAGGGAAAAACACTGTAGATTTCGGTCTCCCCAACATTAGCATCCACTCCGCTGAAATTAATGCACAATTGGATTACTTTCTCTCTCTCCGCTCTTCACTGCGTGAAAAGAACCACTCCATGGTCAGTAGCTTTTCGGAAGAACAACACCACGTGTACAACCTTTTGTTCGATGCCATTTATCGACATGGATCCAACACCACTACTCTGTTCTTCCTCACAGGAAGAGCTGGTCAAGGAAAAACACATGTCAGCGAAGCACTGATCCATTATGCCAGAGGTCATGGCCAACTCCCTTTTGTTGTGGGTGCCACCACGTTAGCAGCATCTAACTATGACTGTGCATGGACAGCTCACAGTGGCTATCTCATTCCGGTTGTCAAAGACAATTTGGAAACCACCTCTTCTCTATCTCCAAATTCAAAACGTTTAAATTTAATGGAGGCACGAGATTAAATATGACTTGTGTGCGCCGGCCTCAGCGCCTCAGTTTTCTTCTGGGTATCCGCCGTGCCCTTTGCTAGGTCAAGTCCTCGTCTGTACGCAATATTCATTGCTTTATCTCTTTAGACTGTTCATCCGCGATGTTCAGTTTTTCTTAGTTGTCTGGTATGAAATTGTGTCCTTATTTCTGATTTCTGCTGCTTGATCGGTACGTAGGTTTATTTTCTTTCTCTTTACACGCTGTTGTGGGGACAACTCCATGTACCGCAAAAAGTCGGATTCTGTGGAATTTGGTCACCAACACGCAGTACATATCCGCTGACGCTCACGATACTCATTCTATCACTATCCAACACTCCTTACACTCATTCCATATTTTTCCATATTTTCCCCACCATTCCCGACAACCCCAAGCAAAATTCCCACGCCCAACCACGCCGCCAATTTCACCCCCTCTCCAGACCTCCATACCCACACTCACAACCCAGCCGTCTTTCCACCCGATAGTGATGCTCTACCACCCTTCTTCACCCCCGGAGCATTTCCCAGAATGGCAATCCCATACCCGGATGGTTCAGCACGGAGTATACTCTCACGTGGTCTTGACAGCACCTGTCAATGGCCACATCTCAACAACTACTGCACCAAATGGGACGAATAGGGGCTCGTTGGAAAGCTGGAGATGAGGAGGTTGCTGTCGGGAGGATAGGCGGGCGCTGTGGCGAAGCGTTGCGGAGTTAACTTTTACATTTCCCATTTCGGACCCGTTGTCACATTTTCCCCATTCATTCATATTTCTTTTATTGTTTCTTTGTTCCCAATTGGATATTCATCATTTACGGTTGCCTAACGGCCCGTTTACATTCCCCCAGTCCATTCATTCCATTTCCAACATATATAAACTAGATAACAGCTTGTACATAACAAGTCAGTATTGAATAGACCCGTGAAGGGACAAGCAGAAGTTGCATCCAAGTGGCAAAGACGCCATCCACGACCCTAACGCCCCCATTGAGCTAGTTGATAACGTCTAAGACCCCT